CTACTAGGTGGGTTATAGAATGATTGATTCTTAATGTCTTTTGCAATTACTGTAGTTATAGACAGTTTGAGGAATGATTGAAAGTTTAGTGGTTAAAATGAGATAACCAATTGAAAGCTTTAATGCTTTTGCAAATTGTTCTCAATGTTTCATTATTGTAGCTTCAGGGGGTGAAGACATACTGATGCTTTATTTATATTTCATTTATACAGATAGTCTTCCAAAGCCACTTTTGAATATAATTGAAATCTTATGAAGTCCACTCTTTTAACATTTATGAAGACATTTTAGAAAAATGATTTAAGTACTTAGTAGTTCTAGACGCAAAGATTTCTAATATGGTTTGACAAACATAAATGTCATTGAGTTATGTTAAGTTTAAATGAAACATTATTGATTTTATTAGCAATTTGTATGGTTTTATTAATGATAAATAATTCTAGCAAATGCACCTACAAAATTAAACCATAAGGCAATTAACACTGGAACTACCAAGCAGTTAAAGTGACTTTTCATTTCTCCATGAAAACTACAAACATGGACTTATTAAAATGTCACTTCAGATATTACTGAATCAACTTCATTAATCATTGTTCAAAGAACAATCTGTACCTCTGCAGCAATTGCAAAAGACATTGAAAATTGGAGATCTTGACCCATCCGATACTTACAGTGTTAACCCTTTGAACTCTAGCTCCAATGTTGCACCAAGAATAATATTAGATATTTCAATGAATCTTAAAGAAACTACCCTTCAATTATTAGGTTCTTCACACATCCAAATTTTGCACTAACAAGGAAAATAAAAGATCTAAGAAATGTTACAGCATTTGTCATTTTCACTAGGGATACTAGAAAAATTAGTTGCAGTTGCTAATGACAAAACCATCTGGAGTGCAAAGGGTTAACACTAGAACTACCAAATGAGTCAAAATGACTCATTCCTACTTATTCTTCCATAATAATTGAAAGCATATAAATGTTCCAAGAAATGATTAAAATAGTTGATTTATTAATATCTAAATCAAAGTACAACTGACATCTTAACACTAAAACTACCGAGTAATTCAGTTGACTTTTGAAAATTTCGCTAGAGAAACTCCAAGAGTGCATCTGTTCAGACTTTAATCGATTTACAATTGAATTTGCATAGTGCTGAAAGAATGTCTTCAACAATTTCTCAGAGAAACATTTGTTACCTTTCTAATAATTACAAAAAGAAAACATCAGGCATGAGATTCAAGGGATCAGGCATTTTTGATTCAAAAAGCAGTATATTAAGGACGAAACAGAGAACAAAACAATGACACTAGTTTTTCTATATTCATTGAAAATTATATAAATAACAAAGGTATAAAAGATCATAAAGAAAGTAAAACTTTTTGAAAGTAAAAGTTTTCTCTTACAAAACGTATTTGCACATACAAAAAGTCATCTTTTCATCGTAATTTTATATAGACCATTTATTACAAAGTATATACTTTGCATTTCCAATATATTTTCTAACAAGATAAATAATATTACATAATAAAAATAAAAAATAATTCGAAGGTACATGGTAAGCGCCGGACGGATTATCTCTTCCGAAATACGTAATTGTTATAGGTAATATAACATTGCTGAAACAAAACTATTTTTTTTAATTCTCTCGTAATGAAATTAGACCATTTATAACGTATTATAAATTTATTTTGAGATAGAGTTCTCCTGCAATGCGAATAGTAAAGCGCTACAAGGCGCGGGCCGATATATCGGCTCTGGCACTTCTCGCCAGTGCATCAAGAGCCGATATATCGGCCTCCGGCACTAAAAGGGTTAACGTGTTAAAGAAGCAAATAGATTAGGTTCGCTGGTCCAAGTTTCCTTTGGCAAGCAGCTTCGAGTGGTAGAGAAAAATCACAGGCCAGCCACGAAGAATCGAATCCTCGCGAAAACAGCGCTGCCAGTCACGACAGTTCCTTGTGTGCGCGTCGAATGGTAACGGCGGCCGGCCTTCAGGCCAACCTTCATCCGCAAGTTTTAGGTGAAAGTCGTCCTTAACCTTCGCATGCAGCCTAGATCATTTCACCTGCAGTCTCATTCTCTTCCGACAGGTCTAACAAAGTGCGCGCACCTCGCACTTTCCTCTTGTGCTTCTACTCGGAACCGTTTTGCCTCGCGTCGGCTCGTCATTACCGGACAGGTACCGTTCGACGGCGATCGATTGCTAGACGCTTACGCGCGCCGAAGAAATTTTATCCTTGCCAGGTAAAAGGCGGAGTAGAAAATCGCCCTGTTGGGTTTGTATCAGAGGTGGAGTAAGATTGGTTGTTGCAGGTTTCTGGTGCCATTTAGTTCCGTTTGGACATGTTACAGTCTAATTTACCTTTAGTTAGGCGCTTAAATTAGGTATTTTAATGGAATCTTAATCGTTTGATCTGGAGAATGTTTTGGATTAGTTTTATTAGTATTGATAGTATTGTTTGGAATTTATAGAAGGGAACTTGTATAAATTATTGTTTTGTTATGTTTATTCTATTTTTGGCCTATTTATTCTATTTTTGTTCTATTTGTGCTACTTTTATTCTATTTATTACTGTTTTAGTTTATTTCTTAAACTTTAGTTTTAGTTTAGTTTATTGAATTTTTCAGTTTACCATTTTGCTGCTTTCAATTTTTATTGAGAATTTATCTAATTCTAATAATTCATCTAAAACTTTAGAGTTCTATTTATTGAAATCTACCAACTTTAATCTATCTCTTACAACGCATTTTTGTTAGCTATTCTATCTCATAAATCTTCCACAAGATGTGTAATTTGTCATCAAAAATTCATCAAAATCTACCAACTTTAATCTATCCCTCCCATTGCTTCATCATTATATCTTCTATTCCACGAATCTCCCACAAAATGTCGTGGCATTCATCATCAGAAATTCATCAGAATCCACCAATATTAATCTATCTCTCTCAACGAGTCGAAAACCGATCGTCCGAGGCGTGTCCCAGGACGATAATCTATTCGAAGGAAATGTAACAGAGAATCTTGTTAGAAACTGCATAGCAGATGGGATCTCGGCGGGTGTTGGTCGCGCTTGTATACGCGAAGTGGCACTTGAGCGACGCCCGCAAGTAGATCCAGGTTAAAGATTTCTATGCCCGAAGGTTAAGGATGTCTCTCGGCTCGGTCTATCGGTCCGGGGGGGTTATGCGTGAAAGGTTCTCCCGTTTTACGTAAGGCGAACGAAACTTGTTCTGCATTACTTATTTCGTTCGTCCTCTGTCGAAAGTAACTTCCGTTCTCCGTGCTGCCAAACACGCCTGCCGTTCCGGCCTCGCGTGAGAGTCAGCGAATACAATGATGCCTTCCTTCCTCTGCAGATTTTTATTGGACAGAGTGTGAAGATCGGCTGGAACCTCTTCAAGATCGAATTCTTTTTGAGAGCAAACAAATTACTCTTGATAAATAGGAATATATAATTTCTTTAGATAATAATTAGACATTTTGAGAGCAAACAAATGATTCTGGTTTTTGTTTGATTGCAGTCTATTTTGTTACAACTGATACGATTTGAATGGTAAGAAGATGGATGAAGGCGTTTATGGAAAATATATGAAAAAAATATTTTTAAGAGATACATGGCCATAGGACCACGTTAAAGGAACAATATTGAAGTATATCAAAGTTTCCAAAAATTTGAATATAAGTGTTATATTATATATTATATTATACTATAAGTTAACACTTATATTTAAATTTTTGGTAACTTTGATATACTTCGATATTGTAATCTCTAACTTATAATATTATAAATAATTATATTATGAAAAAATCAATACAATTCATAAGCAAAACACAACAGAATTTCCATGGCACGGACCGTGTTAATGACGGTACCCTTGAACAGATTAAGTCAGTTTTCGTGGGTGAGGGTAGGCTTTGGACAAAGCCTCAGGTATACGTTACCAAAATGGGAGAAATACAGTTTATTTAGTATGTTCAGTGTCATGAGAGTCACCGGTGACTCCCCATCGAATTGCTATAAACGTGTAGAGATAGTAATTGAATATTTTGTGTATTTTGCTCGATGGAATCGCGTGGGTTAAGTCTGAACGATGGTTATCGAGGAACCGTAAGCACAATTTTTCTATTCAACCGTGAAAGCTGGCTTCCAGTTCGCGTATCTTGCGTTTTATCTATCAGTGTCAACGAGCCTGTACAGATGCTCATAAATAAGTTTCATTTCCTCCTGCCGCATCACGCTTGCAGGATCATTTCCTTATCGTCGGTCATCTTCGAGTGATGACTTTAAGAAGGTGACCGGTATTGCTTGTCTTCGAATGTTTCGTGGGAGAGTTTCATTATTCGCGTTCAAGTGATTCGTGCGAGAGTTTTATTGTTCTTTTTTATTTATTATTCCATTTATTTACTTTATTATTGTTATTTTTTTCGTGTAATAATTACGAGAAGTGACCGGCTTTAAAATTGGATTGAGAATTTCTCTTCTGCTTTGAAATTTGAAATTTTCTGTTAGAGTGGAGACAGTGGAAATACTTAATATTTACAAATATATTAATAGTAATAGTTATATAATAAATATATTATAAATTAATAGTTATACTTACAACTATTTCCTATTAATATAACTATTAACTTACAATATATTTATTTTGTAACCAGTTATTCAGCTGATTACAGAGCAAACAGTGGAAATACTTAATATTTATAAATATAGTAATAGTAATAGTTAATAGGAAATAGTTATAAATACATAAAGTGCCAATACGTTTAGCGTCAGAGGAATTTTCACTCGAGTCAACGAAAGTTACAAGAACGATGGAAAAACCGAAGTGATGGTAACCACGCGCGAATGATGCACAATGAAATTAATATTCTCAGTTACTCGAACGTGATTTTAATAGGCGATCGGACCGGCAGCTGGGAAAATGAAACCCCTGGGAAAAATGCGCGAATCCACGGGTCCCATTAAACAGCCGGCAGAAGAGTTTTCTACATTTACCTTTTCGTTGCTCCAGTTTCCACGGGAATCGGATTCCGATGTCGCTGTCACGGTTACTATCCAGACAACTGTGGCCACCTGCATCGAACAAAAAAGTGTTCATATTAAAAAGTGGCTGGAATATTCTTCAAATATTTCAAAAGAATCTAGAACCAATATCTCTCTGCTACCAGAGAATCCATTCCTGGTTTCTCTTTTACAATTATTAACCCTTTGCACTCGAAAGTTATTCACTAGAAATGTGCAACACTTTCATTAATGAGAACTTAATTAATGAGAAAACGTGTATGAATTAAGAAGGAAAGTTATTTTATTTCAATATTATAATATTACAATATTTCATATTTCAATATTATAATATTATATGTAAGACTTTATAACTTTGCTGTATCAAATCAAGTGATTGAGAGTCACCTCTCGAGTGCAAAGGGTTAAACAGGTGACAATTCTGAGAAACCATTAACCCTTAGCGCTCCATGTTGTTTTCTAATCTATCAGCAATTAATTTTTATAGTATTCCTAGCGAGAATTAGAAATGCTATAACATTTCTCGATCTTTTATTCGGATGTGCGGAAAATCGAATGATTTTAGGGTAGTTTCTTTAAGATTCATTAAAATATTTAACCCTTTGCACTCGAGAGGTGACTCTCAGTCACTTGATTTGCTACAGAAAAAATATAAAGTCTCATATACAATGTTAAGCTTTGTATAATGCATCAATTAATTCATGTATGTTTTCTCATTAATCAGTTTCAAAGAACATCGTCTGTATCTCATCGGAGAATATTGAATATTTCTAGTGAAAAACTTTCGAGTGCAAAGGGTTAATTAATTAATTATAACTGGTGCAATATTGGAGCCTACAGAGTTCAAAGGGTTAAAAATTCGATTGATTTATCAGTACTCAAACCGAATGATAAATCAATCGCAGTGCCAATGGATACACTCTCGAGCTTATAGAGAAATTACCGAGCCTTCCGTTCTCTTCGTTCCGATCCCGGTAAACGTGATGCTACATTAGGAAAGTAATACACGCCGCTCATCAGCATTTCATGCCGAAACATTAACATTAATGAACCGTCCCGACACAACCGACTGTTGTTCATCGCGGAGGCGATTATTATGATCGCCTGAACGCGCTTCCTCGGATTCAGGAAGCCGTCCAGAGTTAATGGTAGTATCAGCTGGTACATTCTAAGGTGTACCGAGACAAAGAAACGAAAAAAAGAGATAAAGATTTAATATTTATTTAATATTAATAAAGGTTTGATAAAGATTTTAATATTTCTTTAAATGCTGTGGTAAATAGCAAAGTTGCATAGCTAAGTGTCTTTATTAAAAAAACGAGATTTCTCGTTACCGGTACGCAATGAGTTAACTAATTAAAGAGCTAGATGTGTTTTTTAAAGCCGTTCTAACAAAGTCACAGTGTAGAATATATACTGTTTCATTATTTCATGAGACAATTAATAGACGTACACGCGGACGAAGCTGTAAACAGAAATTACGCTGCTTGTAATTATGGCGTTAAATACGTGTATAAAACGGATATAAACGCTGTAAATAAAACAGCTGGCGTAATGAAACTTGCTCTTGTCAGGTAAACTCGTTAAGTTTTTCGGTCATGGTGTTCTCATATAGGGACATAGCAAATAAATGAATTTTTAGTATTAACCGCTTGGCCTGCAATATCGTGTCAGACTCGTGGCGAAGATTTCGAATGGAATGTATTATTAAATGTTATTAATTTTTAATGTTATATTATTAGAATCGTAGATTCTGTTTGACAACGGTTAACACTATGATTAACACTGGAACTACCGAGCATTAACACGAGTCATTCGTAATCCCTCTAAAAATAGTAACCATAGATTATTTCTGGTTTTTTCGGGCGTTATAGTGAAACTATTTTCAAAATCATTCTTAATTGTATGTTTTCTCATTAGTTCGTTTTAAATAGTGTCTATGCACTATGTTCCGAATGCAAAGGGTTAATAAATTATCAAAAACATTGTTTTTAATCAATGTTTTCGATAAAGTTTCTCATTAGAACTTCTAATTTAAAGTAAACGGAATATGTAACTAAGTATTGTTTTCCCAGAATTGTCCACGATTGTCTTAAGGAAGAAGGAAATAAAAAGATATAATTAACGTAAGTTTTCTCATTAATTCATTTCAAATAGTGTCATCTAAATTCCCAGTCCAAAAAGTTATTAAATTATCAAAAAAACTGTTTCCAATCAATGTTTTCGATAAGGTTTGTCATTAGTTAATTTTTTTCAGAATTGTCCACGATTGTGTCAAGGAAGAAGGAGAAGCGACGAGGACGAAGGAAACAAAATGGTGCAATTAACACTAGAACTACCAACGATTTAATACGATTAATATATAATCTCTATAAAAATTGCAACATCTCTATAAATTGTAACAATAGTATTCAAACGAAGCTATTTATTTTCAAGATCATTTCGAATATTCAATGCTTTCAAGATATCAATAATTGCGAGATAACACAATTGAAACATTTCGACTGGTACCGAGCATTTAATACGATTAATATGCAATTCCTATAAAAATTGTAACAATAGATAATTTTCAGTTTCTTCAGACATTCATAGTATTCAAACGAAACTATTTATCTTCAAATTCATTTCGAATATTCAACACTTCGAAAATATCAATAATTACTAAGATAAAAAATCGAAACCAGTGATTTCGACTGGTAATTCTAGTGTTAACGCAGCCAGAGATACGAAACGAATCCGCGTCGAATAAAAACTCACCAGTAGAAGTTTCATGATTAACGAGTCGGTGAACAGCAGTTCCTGCCCTCCCTAGTCCAGGATGTTCTCCTCTGGTCTGTTGTGCGGTTGCCAATCCTCTGGAACGTCGATGCACGCACTCCGGAAAGAAACAGTGTACTACTTCGTCCCGACGCGATACACTTGACTTAACTGGTAGCTCCAGTTATCCCCACGCATCAAAGGAGTCCGAAGAGAGCTACGATCGCCTTTAAAAGATCCCTCGGACAGCATCCGATTCACGATCCTCGCCGTGAGACGTGGATCTCGGGCTCGAAGAAAGCGCGGCTCGCGGTACCGTGCAAACAAATTGCGAGGAAACCTCGTCCCATGGATGAACGGTCCTTTTCGTGGACGTTTTTTGGTAGAATAGCTGGTGAGAGGCGTGTCTCTGTTGGTGGGAGGGAGATGCTGCTTTGAGATGGTTTTGAGATGTTTGAGGAATGTTTGTAGGTTTAATGCGAATGAAATGTTAGATGCAAATGTATGTATGGAGAATGAATGGGATTAGTAGCAGAAAAGTTGCTTTAAGATGGTTTTAAGTATTTGAAGAATATTTACAGATTTTAATGTGAATGAAATATGAGATGTAAATGTATGTATGTAGAATGAATAGGCTTAGTAGCAGAAAAGTTGGTTTGAGATGTTTCTGAATATGTGAAGAATATTTACATGTTTTAATATGAATGATATATTAGATTTAAATGGTGTGTATATGGAGAATGAATGGGCTTGGTAGCAGAAAAGTTTGTTTGAGATGTTTTTAAATATTTGAAGAATATTTACAGGTTTTAATGTGAATGAAATGTTAGATTTAAGTGGTGTATGTATGTAGAATGAATGGGCTTAGTAGCAGAAAAGTTACTTTGAGATGTTTTTGAGGTATTTGGAAAATGTTCGAGATACAGGTTTAATGTGAATAAAATATTAGATGTGAATGTTGTACATATGTACAAGAAATGCAAAGTGAATGTTGAGGAAATATGAAGTAAATATTACAAAGTGGATGTTTGAGAAATATTTAATATTTAAATAGTGTTAACACACTGAAACACCATATATATGGTGTTAAAAAGATATATCTTTCTAAATATGAAACAAATATTTGATAAACTTTTGAAAAAGAAATATTTCTTTCAAAATCTAGAATAAGTATTTGATGTACATTTAAATATTATAAAGAGATTAGATGCCTCTTTAATATAAAATTTAATATAAAATAAGATTTAATATGTATTCAATATTTTGCGCTACTGGGGTATACACATATTTATAGAATCCTCATTAACGCGTAATCGACACAGTGGTGATTAACTCTGATCCTTAGCCTACAAAAAATATATACATACATACATATTTATGAATAACAGGTATAGAATCTATGAATAAACTATCATAAGCGTTGCAACGCTTTCTTCTTCATTTACATTTACACGTGTGTATTGTGATACACATATGTATATCCGCGACGATCGTTTATCCAAAGTATCTGGAGAATCTCAGGCTTACCAGCTCTCTTCAAATTAACGATCATTGAGAATATTATTTAAATATTAAATACATATTTCTCAGGTACCTACTTTATATTCCTTAAATGTCTACTTTATATTCTAGGAATATTCACTTGATATCTTCTCAACATTCACTTTGCATTTCTTGTACATATTTACAATACTTAGGTCTGATATTTTATTCATATCAAAAACTGTATCTTAACAAATATTTTCCAAATATTTGGAGATCTTGCACCAATATTTTTCTGTTACTAGGAGTGTTCATTGTAATATGTACACTATTCTAGTATCTTAACAAATATTTGGAGATCTTGCACCAATATTTTCTACTACCAGAAGTGTTCATTGTAATATGTACAAATCTACATCAAATATTTGATTCACATGAAAAAGTATGGCTCCAAAGATATTTTCCAAATATTTCAAAGAGATCTTTCGCCAATATCGTTCTGCCACTACTGCCTCTATTTCATATAAGGAAGAAACTTGTACCGATCGGAGGGGACACGTCGAAACGATGATCGAATGAAAAGTCGAGAAAGTGACACCGTCGCGAGCCCGTTCCCGAGGATTCTATAATTTTCCTTTCTTCTCGCCCCGGCTATTATTGCAATTAATCGCTCATAACCAGGACACGGTCGCCAGCAAGTACAACCGGAGAAATGGAAAGTGAGGAGCGTTGTTTCCCTTTTGTTCCTGTCGATCCAAAACGTATACATCATTCATGAAGAAACGCAACGGACGGTTTTCATCGTAACACGCGTGTTATTTCATCGAGACTGCGATTAAATGATTCCACGGTGAACATGGAGTCGTACGGTTGTTTTAAGTCTAGTGTTAAGCGGAAGCTAAAGTTATGATTATTCGTTAAATTGCTCTGCTATCTTAAAGATACTTTAATAATCAAAAAGAAAGATAGTGGAAGAATCATTAAGATATAGAAAGCATCATTCTTTCATATAAGTAAGAGATATTCTTATAATTAATTATTACAGTATCTTTATTATTAAAATATCTCTTAATTATATGAAAGAATGATTCTTTCTATATCTTAGTAATTCCTCTACTATTTTTCTGTTTAATTATCAAAGTATTTCTAGATATTTTTATAATAAAGATACTTTGATAATCAAAGAGAAATATAGTACACTACTAATTAAGATACAGAAAGAACTATTCTGTTATAGAATCATTCATTTCAGATATTTTTCTAATTAATTATTAAAATATCTTTCAATTACATAAAAGAATGATTCTTTCTATATCTTAATAATTCCTCCACTATCTTTCTCCTTAATTACTAAAGTATCTTTATTACAAAAACACCTTAATTATATAAGAATCACTGCTATCTTCTTTATCATTGTTATCATCCATCGTTCCTTTCGCTTATAGCAGTTTATACTCCTACAATTTGACTGTCGACAAACCTAAATGTAAAACCTAAACTCATCACTCGCTGTTTCGTCCTCGAAGTTCTCTGCTGGAACATCGGTTGATTCGAGCGAAAATGATTCGCCGGGCAGCACAGTTTCCAGCTCGGCCATGCGTGGTGCCTACTTGTTCGCGGCGTTTATCAGCGGATAGACAATAAATAGTCCCGCCCTGGCCATTCGGCGTTACTCCTTACTTTCATCTGCCTTTCACTGCTTCGCAATCTCGCGCCGCGCCGTTTCTTTTTTCCTCTTCGGCTAAGTGGATGGGGATCGCGCCGACCTGATGCTCAATGAAACGCGTTTTCGCGGAACGCGCGTGCAACTTGGAGAACCGATTATTTAGCCGCGCGATCGGTTTGTTTCTAACAAGTTCAGTGTCAGGGAAATGAACATTTTCCTGTATTGTTATCCCTTTTAGTTGAGAAAAGTGGAGACAATTATTATTAGTTTATTATTTTGCGTTTCAATCTTTGCGTTAGACTGTTAACAACTTAGTTATCAACACTAGAACTACCGAGCACTTAAACTGACTTTTAAAGTTTCATTAGAAAAATTATAAAAAAATATAAATTGAAATTTCAATTACTAAAGGAATCCTGTGTTAAAGTGGAGTTCTTCAGCTTTAATTTGGTGTGCCGGAAGTTGAAATATCTTCACGGGTTCGACTTCGGCGAAGAGGAATACCACAAGAGTTACTTCTGCAATTGTGAACGCTACCTTTATTTCATTATATATTATAATAGATAACAAGTGTGTTGACTATTTGTTAAGTTTATTACTGTATCAAAGAATAAGATTAAATAAACGAACATTTTACGATAACTTGTCTATTTTATTTCATGCTACCTTTACCTCTCCATTGTTAATTACATTTTGTAATTAATTTTAAAGTTAATTTGAACTTAGTTATATTTATAACACGATCACTTCTTGAACGAGACATTCAGGAGACTGGAATGATACGCTTGAAAATTGGCGCCACGAAATTGTTTTTGGATACCTCTTTGAATATCATGTTCTCCTAGTAAGAACTTGGAATTTCGGGTCCCGTTTCAAATTTCGCGCCTCTGGAATGTTAACATTTTTCGGATACCTCTTTTAGTGTCATGTTCTCCTAGTAAGAAACTCGGATTCTGAGATCCGTTTGAAATTTCCCGCCTTTTGGTTTGTTTATATTTTTCGGATACCTCCTTTGACATCATGTTCTCCTAATAGAAAACTCAGAATTTCTTGTTCCATTTCAAATTTCATGGCTTGGAGAGACTTTTTACTAGGAGAATATGATAGTAACGGAGGTATCCGAAAGGTGTAAACAAAGCAAAAGGCGGGAAAACTTGGGAGACCTCTTTTAGTATCATGTTCTCCTAGTAAGAAACCTCTGAGAGCTGCAAAATTTGAAGTGGAACGCGAAAAATATGAGTTATGTATTAGGAGAACATGATAGTAAAAGAGGTATGCGAAAATTTGTAAACAAACCAAAAAGGCAGAGATTTTCGGGTACCTCTCTTACTATCATGTTCTCCTAATAGAAAACTCAGATTTTCGGGTTTCATTTGAAATTTTGCGGCTCTGAAAGGTTTATTACTAGGAGAACATAATACTACAAGAGGTATCCGAACAACGTAAACAAACCAAAAGGCGGGAAATTTCAGGCGGATCTCGAAATCTGAGGTTCTTACTAGGAGAAGATGATAGTATAAGAGGTATCCGAAAAATCTAAACATTCCAGAGCGGGAAATTTGAATGGGATCTCGGAAATTCGAGTATCTTACTATAAGAGCATGATAATAAAGAAGTTTTGCGACTCTGAGAATTTTATTATTTTTCGAATACCTCCTTTACCATTATATTCCTCTGCTAGGTACGACGAAATAAAAAACACAAGCTTTACAATATTAATTAATTTATTTATTTTCACCCATTTCTTAACATTGACATGTGTAGTACAAAAGCGTTGTGAATAATTTAATTATTAATTATAAACAGCCACTGAATCCTTGTTGATGTTCGAGAAGATTTATTCACTCTTCAGCACGCCAAACTGCAGGTGAAACACACCAGTTTAACATTGGGATACTGCAAATAAACGTACATAATGTTAAACACAACTAAAGATTGTATAAAGGCAATAATTACAAATTTAAATTCCCTGGAATATCCGCGGAATCAACGCCATCTACCATAACACTCTCAAGCTACTGGAGAAATAGTACAGCCAAACCACCGTTAGATGGCACTGAACATATCGCCATCCTCGTCGCACAGTATCTCTTTCCTTGCCTCGTAGAATCAGCACCATCTATAATAGAACGTCGAAGCTGCTCGCCAAATAGTACAGCTACACTCTCGCTAGATGGATGGCAATACAGTCGATTGTCAGCGCCATCTACAATAGAAAGCCCAAGCTATTAACCAAATAGTACGGTTATGTTGTCGCTAGATAGCCAGCAATACAGCAGCGCCATCAACAAAAATTCATCCAAGCTGCTCGCCAAATAGTACAGCTACACTCTCGCTAGATGGCACACAGACGGCCCTCAGTAAGACAAGGAGAGGAGCACTGTGCGACAAGGATAGCTGCTGCCTAGCAGCGCCATCTAACTATTGTATGACCGTACTATTTGGTTATTAGCTTGGGCATTTTTTGGTAGATGGCGCTGTCTTTATTAGACAAGGAGAGGTGTACTGTGCGACAAGGATAGCTGTTATTTGTCCACGCCATCTAGCGACAATATGACCGTACTATTTGGTTATTAGCTTGGGCATTTTTTGGTAGATGGCGCTGACTTTGTGAAACAAGGAGAGGTATACTGTGCGACAAGGATAGCTGCTATGCAGCAGAGCCATCTAACGAGAATATAACCGTACTATTTGGCTAGTAGCTTGGGACTTTTTGGTAGATGGCGCTGACTTTGTAAGACAAGGAGAGCTATATTGTACGACAAGGATAGACATATTGCAAAGCCATCTAGCGACAATATAACCTTACTATTTGACTAGTAGCTTGGGCGTTTTTTGGTAGATGGCGTTGACTTTGTAAGACAAGGAGAGGTATATTGTACGACAAAGATAGCGATATGACAGCGTCATCTATGATGAAATGACGAAGCTACTAGCCTATTAGTACCTAATTATTGGCGATAGGTGGCAGTATTTGAAGTATGCCTGTCCTTGTTTCACACATTGTAGTGATGAGGATGACAGTTGGTTTTTCCCGCTAAAAACTTGACGTGAGTACTTACCCCTTCTCTGACAATGATGATTTAGTCACGTGCTGTTATGACACGTGCAAGACAGCGTAGCGCGATTTTGATAGCCGGCAAGGGTTTTTGCTTCGTGTAGGTATATCGCACGACTGGAGATTAGATTATTGCGTTTTGGTATTAATATACCTGCGGGGTGTAGCCGAAAGATTAGGAAAGAATGGGGGACGAGGGTTGATGGTCATTTTATGGTCTACGTGATAATCAATTGTTATTGTGGGAAGATTTGATAATTTTGTAAGATTATGTTATGAATGTTATTGTTACATGAAAGGTAAAGGTGTTTGTTATTGCGACGAGGATTCAGTAACAATTATCATATTTTATATTTGTCAAACGTGTTACTTTTTTGATTATGCAGAATTTATGTGTGTAGGAGTGAAATATTTAAGTATTTGGTACTAATGGTTATACTATAGTATACTATTTTATAATACTATTTTCTGTACTGGCGTAGGGAATTTAATAAATTTTTATTTATTTGGTTTCAGGATAAAAGAAAAGTTCGTATAATCGTATATTAATACATATGAGGTTTATGAAATTATAAAATGGCATCTGTTTCGCAAGATATAACTGAGTTGGCGAGGCCTGAAGATTTAGCAAATACTCAAGATCTATATGGTACTCGTAATGGTATATTATTTGTAGTTGATGCAACTCCTCCAATGTTCATAAAGGATGAAGACCAGGAAACTTCATACTTTGTGGAATCTATAAGGGTATTACTATTATTGTTTATTTTCTTCTGTGTGGTTTTTCATACTAATTTAGTTTGTTATTCTGAATTTAGCTGTATAAGGAGATCCTTATGCAAAAGTTGGTTTGGAACAGACAAGATTGGATGGGTTTGGTGCTGTTTGGAATTGAGAAGGGAGACCAAGATACTGAAATGAAAAACATTTTAACTCTACAAAAACTAAACATTCCTTCAAAGAGTTCATTACAACAAATGATAGAAATAGGTACTTTAATAACATTAAAATTCTATTGTTTGTTTCTGCATTACTTAATATATATTATTTCATGTCTAGATGATGAAGGAAGATGGGAGGAGTACAAAGATATTGCGTGCACCAATGTTTATCCATTACACGATGTGTTATGGCATGCAGCAAGAGTATTTTGCTCTGTTAGGGTAACTATGCTAGTCAAGAAAGTGATTCTTCTTACGTGTCAAGATAATCCTCCAATGACAAATGACAATGAAAAACGCAGAATAGTAGCAAAAGCGAAAAGCTACAGTGATTTAGGACTCAAATTATCCATTGTTGGTCTAGGTGAAGACTGGAATCATGATTTGTTTTATAAAGATTTAGAAATTTCATCCGGAAAGATTGATACAGAAAATTGTAAAAGAACATCTCTAGTTGATCTGATGCAACAAATAAAATTACCATCCAGAAGCATGGCAAAATTGCCTTGGAGACTTGGAAAAAATGTAATTATCGATGTAAACCTGCGCAGTCTTGTCGTGTAAGGAACAAACTTTTTTAAAAAGATCTCTTTATATTGACTTTAGTACCAAAACATGTTTCACACGAAATTTACTTGCAGCAAACGGGAGACTTTGAAGAAGGTGTATGTAAGTAAAGAATCCAATAAACCTTTAACTTCGCATAGATACTTGAAAACGGTTGACAATGAGGTATGTACTTTAATAATCTGCTCGTGTAATATCATGTAATTATTTGTTCCTAATTCGATAAGAAACAAGTGTTTTTCTCTTTGTTTTAGATGTTTGAAGATGATAACTTTAAAGAACCGACGTTACCACATGTTTTAGACATAAATATTCGAAAGTACAAACAGTATGGTGGTAAAAAAATATATTTTACTTTACCCGAAGTGAACACTTTGTGCTCAGTTTGTGAGCCAGGCATCGACTTAATTTGTGCGAAGCCTATTTCTTACCATCCTTTGTATCATTTGGGAAAACCATACTTTGTTGCACCTGCTAAAAGTAACCGCAAAGGTAATACAATGAAATCAATATTTTGCTGAAATATGATATGTTATTGTAATTTGATTTCAGATAATACGTTATTGTTTGCTGCATTAATTGATAAATGTAAATCAAAGAATTTAATGATGATATGTGCGGTGACATTTAGGAAACGCTCGTCCCCGCTTCTGTACAGAATGATACCGAATGCGGAAAAAGGGGGATTTTATTTACTCAAAATACCATTCAGAGGTTTGTCTTTAAACAGTACTATGTACTTACCGTCGAGACTCTAACTATATTTCTTTTTTTCTTCTGTTTCAGAATACGTTCGAGATCTTGAAAGTGTTTCCTTGCAGTACATGTATGACAATGATACTAACAAACCTCCAACCGAATCACATGAAATAAAACTGCTAGAAAAAATAATGAAGAAAATAAGAATTCACTATGACCCAAGTGCTTTCTACAATCCAAAAGTTCAAGCGCAAATTCAAATGCTTCAAACTGTGGCTTTAGACTGGGAAAAACCTGAGCCTATACTTGATGATACCCGTAAACAAATATTTTAAACACGGTAATCAATCATACAAATTCCATGCAATAAAGTAATGTAATTTTCAATTTCTTTACAAGTTCCACGAATCGAGGAAATGCAAGGACTTACAAAGGATCTGTTAACTCAGTACAATGAAATATTTGACACTGAAACAATGTGTAAAACCGAAGAACCAGCAAAAAAGAAAGTTAAGAAAGAATCTGACATAGAAGACGCGGCATTGCTGGACAAAGAAGCGATTCGGAAGCTTGCACAAAAGGGACAGGTATGTCAAAAGATAATTATCAATTTAAAGGGGAAAAATAAGAAAAGTTTACGAGCCTGCTTCTGCATATTCATTTTCAGTTGTCATCTAAGACTGTACCAGAGTTGAAAGTCATGTGCAAGAACATAGGTTTAACAGTATCTGGGAAGAAAAATGATTTGATTCAGAGGATTAAACAATATTATAAATCTGAATGTTGATTCTGAAGAGAATAAGTGATACATTACATTAAAAAATGTGTATTTACACTCTTACCATGTATAATAAAGTGTGCATACAAATGTATATTTTAATATTTATAATCGAAGTATCTGCTCATTTTCTATTAATACTTCTTTGTGTGAAACAAATGCATTGTATGATAAAATAAAGTCAATAAAAATAGTAGTTTGATATACAAGTATCGATGTCATTTGTGTAGGCAATAATTTATAATTCATCTCTTTTGGATTCGGATTCCAAGTCCTTTACATTTCCAATAAAGAGCGGTATGTTGTTTGGTTTGTGCTCAATTATAAACATGAATGGCCGATCAACCAAAAATTGTTCAGCCCGTTGAAAACTTCTTTTAAGTCTCATATGCACAGCTAAAACGTGTAGAATAAAATGAATAACTTGAATTTTTGTTCAATTTATTTAATACTATTCAAATTAAATGTACCTGTAGCAGCTGCAGCTTCAGTACCCTCCTCGCTTACTTTTATCACAGCTTTATGTACGACTTTGCTGACCTTTAAAGGAATATTTGAAATGTCGCCAAAGTCTGCCTCATCTTCAAACATGTTTTCTAAGCCAAGCTAAAATTGTCATGTACCATTGAATTACGATGTTTTTAAACATTTTATGTGCAAAATGTATTATCAGTACCTTTCGTAATATATCGTCTAAGTCAACTGTGAATTCTATTTCGAATCTTGGAAGATATAATGAAATGTCAGCATTCTTTCGAGATGCATTTGCAAGTACTTCCCATGAAAACTTATTTTGTAAATTTGTAAGCCCGTCTACTTCGTTTGGTACCAATACGGTCATTACAATATCTTCATTCTGCAAGACAATTTTTCAACTTAATTGGTCTAAAACACTTGTACATTTGGACGTACCATGTAAGGAATTTCAATAAATTTTGCATCCAATAATGGTATTTCACCATAATTATATCTAGACTTCTTAAACATTGTGGCTACCATTTTTTTCTCACCTCTTGCAGTATGGAATATTTTTTTCTGTGTCTGATCAACATCAAATTTCTTTAACCACATCCCACTAAAATAGATTGCATTTACCAATACCAGTTTTGAAAATTCATCAAAATCATCTGGAAGAAATGTTATTAATACGATTATTAGCATTGAAATAATTAACTTTCAACCAACTTCTTACATTCTGAATATTTTACCTGAAGACACAAGACCAGAAATTTTATGATGGGTTATTTGTTCAACCCATTTGTTAATTTCATCTGCAGCCTCCTCTTTCTTGTGTTTAAAATCTAATTTTGAAATAACAGATTTATATGTATTGGTACCTATCTCCAGAAATTCCGGTAACAACTCAAACTCTTCTTGAATGTATATTGCATTAGCAACATGTAAGGTAATATTTTTCAATTCCTTGAAAATATATAAATCTGAGATTACAATTTTCTAATTTCATTCTTAAAAGAATATTAATAACTTACATTCAACACAGTTACTAGATCTGCATATCCTTCTTTTATCATATTTTTATCATGGTGATAGAGGCTAGTAGATAATGCGTTTAACGTTTCAGATTTTGCACCATGAGAAAGTAAAGATAAGATCATATGTATACTTAACGGGGAGCTAACTATATTTTCTTCACTGGTGACATACAATTCCTAAAATGAATTTGTAACATCTTATTTAGTTAACTCTTTATAATGAAAAATTATAGTCTTCTACTATAGTAGTAATCTACTTACTACGAAACATGCAGTACATAAAAATATCTTTCTACTCACCTTGTAGAATACTTTTGAAAAGGCAGCACAAGAAGCAGACAAATTTTGATGTACCTTTGTACTTTCTGCAGCCATGTTAAGCGATTGTGTTAATACAATCGTAAAAAAAGTAGTTAAAACTGTAAAAAATAATACGCTTATTGACCTTGTAACACGTTGAATAAGTAGTAATGATTAAGTATGTATATTTTGATGATATGAAGCATCACCTGCGTGCAATAAATAGCACATTGTTATTATCACAAGTAAATATTATAATGTACGTTAATACTGTTGTACAAGTCAATGTATATCAAGTACAATTTATCAAGGATAATTGCACTATCTATGAATTGTGAAGAATAAACAAATGCCAACACATTTCATTTCATATTTTCAATACAAATGGTCACTTGTCAAATGAAACTTTATCTTGAACCTTTTCTTATATTCCAAAAGATACACGCGATGATAAAAGCAATGATTTAGCGAGGTGAACATATTGTGACATGCTATACGGAAATGCTGTCACGTTCAACAGAGGTTAGGTTTGATGTGCCTTACCCAAATGGGTACAAAAATAGTAATCCCCTACCTTTCCAAAAAAAATGTAAACACAGAGGGGCAAATGTAAAGCGCGAGATGTTGTTTGATTTAAAATTTTTCGTCGAATTACGTGTCAAGTAAATTATGCGTATTAATGTTTTCTACACTATATTTAACGGTGACGTATTGACGTCCACTAGAATACTAATTCATCATGAAATACGAGTTGAAATTATCGATACACGTTCTAAAGTAAACTGAGTCATAAGTGCTTTGCAAATAAAGAAATAATTTTCAAAGAATCAACAGGGTGTCAAAGTGCCATTTCAATTGCAAATTGAAAATTGAAATTGAATATTGATTATTGATTATTGAATCAATTTGCAAATTGAATAGACAAAGGCAACATGTTGGAAGGGAATACATTAAATGCTTAAATAAATAAAAATAAATGATTCATATTTATGGGAAATGTGTGAAAGATTAACAGTAATTGTAAATTGTCTTTAAGCAAGGTACATTGAACAAATGAAAGACAAAAGTTATTTGTCTACACGCTCCTTTCTGTACTGTACGCAAATATAATATATAATAATCATTGTTTCACTCTCAAGTTAATAATAAATCCTTCAATCGATAAAGCGAACGTTTCCATTCTTTTGTATTTTGATTTGTATCGTCTACTTAAATCTAAATTAAGTGTTTTACGTATTCATAGGGGATTCCAGGAATGCCTAACAAAATAATCCAATGAATTTCAAATGTAATCCAAACACTACATTTCCATTCACCTTGCATTCATCTCTCATTCACCTTCCACTCATGGTAACAGCTCTATAAAAATCCGAATTTCATCTCAGATCTCACCCTTAAATTTCTCAAC